AACTTACAAATGTCAGTTTTAACCTCTTCCTCTGTTACAAAAGCTGTTTCTTCTAAATGATTCTGTAAGCTACAAAACAAATGGTAGTCTGAAGATCAGGAGAATAAGGTGGATGAGGAATTTTCTCCCAAACAAGTTCTTCGATCTTTTGTGACGTGATTCTTGCTGTGTAGGGTCGCGCATTGTCCTGATGAAACATCATCTCTTTTCGATTCACTAGAGCAGGTCTTTTTTTTTCAAAGCTTGGTTCAAACGCTCTAATTGCTGAGAGTATATTTGAGCATTAATTGTTGCATTAGGTGGTAAGAATTCAAAGTGGATTATTCCTTGGCGATCCCACCAGATTGAAAGAAGAACCTTTTGCCAATGAAGTTCCATTCTCGGTTGTGGCTGGGGTCCTTCCCCTTTACCAAGCCACTGTCTACGACGCTTAACATTTCGATAAAAGATCTATTTTTCCTCGCCAGTCACAAGTCTATCCAAAAAAGGTGAAAGAAGTTGGCGAGAATGGAGAGAAGAGCAGATGTCAACTCGGGATTTGAGGTTGTTTTCAAACAATTCATGAGGCACCCATTTTCCAAGTTTAGGAACTTTTCCAAGTAGTTGAAGATGACGGTGAACAGTTGTATGGTTTGAACTGAGAACCACTGCCAATTCCTCAACTGATAAAGCAGGATTTTCTTCAAGGACTGCTTCAAGAAGCTTTTCATCAAACTCAACTGGACGTCCGGTTCGATCTTCATCTTCAAGGGTGAAATCTCCATCTCTGAATTTTGCAAACCATCTTCTGCAAGTTCTTTCATTCACACATTCCTCTCCATAAACTGAGTGAATGTTTCTAGCCGCTTCGGCTGCTGAGTTTCCTTTCTTGAACTCATAAAGCATTATGTGCCTCAAATGATTCTTGGGTACTTCCATGTTAGCAGGGTTTTAATCAAACAAAATTTAATTTTATTGTTCTCTGAAATAAAATTTGATCAGTTTAAATGCATCTAAACATAAAAATAATGTTCAGCTCCATTAGACATTATAAAGTACTCTTTAAATTTCGTTCATTTTAACAAAAAGTTAAAATTCGGACAGAACTTATGGGATGACCTGATATTTAGAATGCATTTACATAATGAATATAATATTTTTGTAGTCTTCAATAAAATTTGCATTAATTCCCGATATTTCTTCAATCTTACATAAATTTTACATTTACACTTTACATAAAATTTTTACATAAATTTTATATTTACACTTTAATAAAATTTTTACATAAATTTTATATTTACACTTTACATAAAATTTTTACATAAATTTTACATTTTACATAACATAAAATTTTATAAATTTTACATTTATACTTTTACATAAAATTTTTACATAAATTTTATATTTATACATTACATAAAATTTTTTTACATAAATTTTATATTTATACTTTACATAAAATTTTTACATAAATTTTATATTTATACTTTACACAAAATTTTTACATAAATTTTATATTTACACTTTACACAAAATTTTACATAAATTTTACATTTACACTTTTACACAAAATTTTTACATAAATTTTATATTTACACTTTACACAAAATTTTTACATAAATTTTATATTTACACTTTACATGAAATTTTTATATTAATTTTACATTTACATAATGAATATAATATCATTATTTTCTTCAATAAAATTTGCATTAATTCCCGATATTTCTTCAATTCTCCCTGCACTTCCATAATAAAAGAATTACTTATACATCTACACACTATCTATAATAACGTACCTTTGTAAAAAGCTTTACTCTATATAGCCGTCAGCATAATTCCTTCTATATGTATTTTATATGTATTTTTTATTATTATTCTGTGTGTCAAGTTTCTTCCTTTAGCCGATTTCATTTTCTGCTCGATATGCACTCGCATTAAATGTATTCGCCCGTTCTTACCCTTTGACACTAACTCAGTATTTCTTTTGTCTATACGGCACAGTTTCTCGCCAACATCCAAACTCCGTTCGTTAGAATCTATTGTCTTCATCATTTGCCGCCATACAGAAGCGACATGACCGAACAAAATACACAAAATCCGATCTGTGCAAGCCTCTGGAATATAGAGGCGAAAATGTTATATAAATATTTCTTGATATTAGAATAATGTCAGGGAATTCCATGACAAAGACGGAAACACTGTGTAACGCGTTTCGACCCACAAAAGGACTTCATCAGACGAAATCATGTTTTTATTTATAGAAGTATATATATGTGTGTGTGTGTGTGTGTGTGTGTGTGTGTGTGTGTGTGTGTGTTACTTAATGAATATCAAACACTTAAAATACCATAGGTAATAATCTTTATTTCATGAAAGCTATAAAAATACCTTCCAATCATTCAGATCTGCAAACGAAATTTAGTTTGCAGGTCTAAAAGATTGAATGCTATTTTTACAGTTTTCATGAAGTAAAATATTACCTCTGGTATTTAAGTGTTTTGATAATAATTAATTAATTAATTAATATATATATATATATATATATATATATATATATATATATATATATATATAAAAAAAAAAAACAATAGGAAAATTTGTTTTTTAGCCGACGCGTTTTTGTCCAATGTGAACCAATGTGAAGGCAAAAAACAAAATGAATTTATTGAAACTAAATATTTATAAACAACAAACAAAACGTCGTTAGCAATTTTCAGTTGAGCATATGAATATACAATAGCATTTCTAAATTTTTCTAGTCGACATTTTGTTTGTTGTTTATAAATATTTAGTTTCAATAAATTCATTTTGTTTTGTTTTTTTGCTTTGAAAGTCCACTATTATCTTTTTTCCCTTTATACATATTGTCTTTCTTTACACGTTAATTCTGAGAAATATTTACACACACACACACACACACACACACACACACACACACACACACACACACACACACACATATATATATATATATATATTTAGGATGGATGGTTTGATGGATGGCGGAGGGATGGAATTATTATTGTATACAGAATTGGGGATAATATCAATAGTTTGGTCGACGGGGACGTTTGTAAATAAGTTTTCGACGTCAAGTGACGCTATTATACCTTGGTTTGTTTTTTTTTTGTTTTGTTTTTTTGTAGTTTTTAAAATTTGCAGGAATTCGTGTGTGGATGTGATGATGTAATTGGTGGTTCCATCCCTCTGCACTCCATCAAACCATCCATCCTAAAAAAAAATTACTACACGCATGCACAACCAAAGTCCCGTTCTATGACCATAATATATATATATATATATATATATATATATATATATATATATGTGTGTGTGTGTGTGTGTGTGTGTGTGTGTGTGTGTGTGTGTGTGTGTTATACTGGAACATACCTATTCTATTGTTAATAGACTCTCCCACATATAATAAGTAGTAGAAGTAGCAGTCGCCAAGGAGCTCAGTGAGTTTGTCTGATTTCAGTCGGGCGACCGGTTGAACTCTCTGCCTTCGGGCAGGGAGGAACCCGAACGAGGCTACGCGGAAAGGCGGAGTCTCTTTCGGGGAGGTAAACCGGCCCTGAGCCCGTTTATACGGGTTCAATGTGCATATTTTTTGGGCCGATCCCACGGGCTCGGAGATCCCACGTTAAACCGGCCTTGTTACCCATGATGCCCTCGTGGGGGGGGGGGGGGCTGTATACTGCTCAGTGAGTTGGTCGAGTCAGCCGATGTCAGACATTAAAGTATCAGCCACCACAACTAGATTGCTGCGTCATTAACTATTATATCAAGTTCCTAACGTTTTGTACGTCGAACCTATTTTAGGACCGACTTAGTACAATACAAGCCTCCACTGTGAAACTATACAACAATATATATATATATATATATATATTGTAATCCACAGATATGCTGTTTCGCTGTATCACAGCTCATCAGTGTGGCTAAACATCCGAATGCCTATAGTTAGGATCGAAACACCGTAGGGATGACAGGTGAATATGAGTAAAATATCCCATGCATATGAAATATGGATCCGAATCCAACAGGATGATAATATAAATTCACATTGAAAGGAAAGTGTCGGCTACAACTGCTGTTTTCCTTTTATCTTTTTTCTTTTACACATATTGTCTTTTTCTACAGATTATATATATATATATATATATATATATATATATATATATATATATTATAAATTGATTTATTTAAAATATGTTTTTTTCGCTACACAGTTCTAACCATGTTTCAAAATGGAAGCTAAAAGCTACAATTTAATTTTGTAATTAAATTAAAGACATTAGTTCCATTTCATCCTCAAGCGAATTATATATATATATATATATATATATATATATATATATATATATATATATATGTGTGTGTGTGTGTGTGTGTGTGTGTGTGTTTGTGTGTGTGTGTGTGTGTTACCAGTTCTTGGCTTCTCGAAACATGCAAATGGTTGCCTTGCTTCAGCTGCACCCATTTCTACCATTAAATTAGGCTCGTCAATTTCGTTAATGTGACAGATCTGAGCTGCTAAAATGCGTGCGTTAAAATCGAAACATTTGACGATTCTCATGGCGTCTATATACGTAGAAGTGGGTTGATTACAGAATGACTTAAATTGAAAATTAGGCCAGCCATTTTGGGCATGACTGCAGGCAATTTAATCTAAAGTGACAACCAACTAAATTAGCGTCTGCAGTGGTAGTCGTAAGGTTCTATCAACGTTACTTTTATCGACTACGCGAATGCTTCGATTCCAGACCATTGACAATCCCTTTCCTGCATGTTTCTTTGCGCCTGCAATTATTAGCAATATATTTACATAATAATAATATTTTGGTAGTAGCATATTTCATTCTTGACCACAGACCATCCCTGTTCTACATTTTCAACATCTTTCAATCCCTCGTAAAGCATTTAGGTTAAATCCAAAGAATCTGCAACGTTATCGGTTCTGATCTGGCATCTCGACTACAGTCTCCTTTCCACTGCCGTAACGTAACTTCCCTGAG